TTTTTTTTTTTTTTTGCACATTTACTAATTAGGTTTTTGCTGTGTAATAATATGAATCAATCTTTTTTTGCTGAACATGAGATTGTATACCATCCTTTCATTATGTTCTTGTTATGTTTACGATTGGTAGGGGAAATTCATGAATACAAAAACGATTGCTTGTTAGAAAGCCCTAGATTCAAGACCTAGAAAGAAGGTGCATAATGATGAATTGTGACTTTCTAATCCTATATTCAATTGTCACTAAGTGGTTCCATTTGTGACACAATAAATCATGATATTTTCATACCTGAAACACAATAAATCATGATATTTTCTTGTTCCTAAAAGAAAAATTGAACTTTTTATCATCCTCTCTAGCACCAATATATGAACTTATATGGTGTAACAGTAGCTTTATAGGTAAAAGGCTATAGATATAATAAAGGTCTAAATTCAAATAAAGATTCTAACTTTGTTGTGTAATTGCAAGTGTAAGAGGTTAAAATGGGTTTTATATAAAAGTTTATGTGTGTTATCTCATGTGTTGCATCTTATAATAACATACATTAAGATTAAAATGTTGATAAGATGATTAAAAGAGGTAAAGAAAATCTTAATCTTTTAACTTGTAAGTTTATTCAATGACATCATTTGTAACAGAGCAGTTGCTGTCTTGGATGTGATGCGAAGCACAAACTGATCAAAAGTCAAAGGCAAACTCGCCCAATGTCAAAACCTTGTATGGCAGATGACACCTGGACAAGTAGTAGATTTGACATGGACAACACACGCGATCCATCTCTTGATTCTCATGACTTCATAAATCATGGCAAGAACATTATATATATTTTTTACCCTTTTATTAATTTTCACATGTATTCTTTTATTCTTATTTCAAATAATAAAATTTGGTAATAGGTTTTCTTCTGTGGAACCAAAGTAGACAGCAGTGGATAGGAAATAAAAGAAATAGACAAAGAAACAAGCCTCGCGAACCAAGATTGAGGTAACATTTTTTTTTTACTTCAAATTATTTGAATAAAATTAGATTAATTTTGTAGAAAAGTTTAAAGAAGCATTTTTTTTAACGGTTTTTGCAGTAAGAATGTTACGTATGATAGTTTGCTAGGTAGCAACAAGCCCTTTGCAAAGCCCATTCCTCTTTCTGTAAGCCGTTTTTATTTTTTTATTTATTTTTATTTTTTTTGTGGATGAGGAAGACTTACAATATTGGTTAAAACTTAAAACTTGCAGGAAATGGTAGATTTTTTGGGGGATGTATGGGAGCAGGAAGGGTTGTATGATTGAAAATAGGTGGAAATTAAACTTAGTCTTGAATTGTGGTTTAAAATAACACATTAGGTTATTATGTTGAATTCTTTTTATTTTTATTTTTATTTATTATGCTTACTGTAACCTTTATTTATTTTTCTGGTATTGGACTATTTAACTGACTAGATCCATAGGCAGAACTTGTAAAAACCCCCTGGTTTAAACTTTAAACTTTAAACTTGTAACTTTATTTCTCACCTAGGGATGTAAGATGTTGCATAAAATACAAGAAAAGGAAAAATTGGTTACTTTACTTTTTTACTTTATTCGCTGTTTATTCTTTGGGCATTTGTTTTTGCTTGGAAATTTGTAAGATCCGTTTTGTTTTCGTGTTTGGTTGCTAGTTGGTAATTATACATACTAAATGACATTTCCTCACCTCTAGTAATGAGTTTTCAAGAAGTCGTTCCCTACTAATGACCTTTTGAGATAGAAAGACAATATGAACCTCACACTCTTTCCTTCATTTTTTCTTTACCGCCTAATTTCATTGTCATTTTACAACTATAAATAGTTTTGCCAAACATACAAAAATCTTGTAACTTATAACTTTTTGCCACCAAATAACTTATCAAATCATTTTTTTAAAAAAATTCGCTACCACATAAGCTAATAAACACTTTTACAAAAAAAAAAAATTCGTTTTGAAATAAAATCCCAATAACTCCTTCATTTTCTATTTATCCTAGATCCTTAGAAAATATGGGTTGTATCTACAAGAAATTTCCCATGTAATTTTTTTTTCTATGATGTAGTTTCGAGAAAACGAAGATGGTTTTAGTGTTTTAAGGAGGCAAACTGCATGTTCTAGAAAAAGTAGCATCTAACAAGCCTAAAAACAACGAAGTTGCCCCTAAGCATAAGAGATTATTCACAAGGTGAGCTCGAGTTCCGTATAGAAGGATCGAGTTGGCTTAAGCTAGAGCACTATGAATTTAAACGAGTCAAGATCATGATTAACTTGGCTCATTTACACCCCTAGATATCATTGCTCAATCTCCAATATGATCAAATTTATTGTATTCAAAATAATTAAAACCATTGCTTTTCATGACAACACCTCAATACTTTTTATGAATGTGAAGAAGGAAAACGAATTACCGATTTCTATTAAAGGGTCTACAACCGGCAAAAGAAAATTCATTTTTTAACATGGGGTTATTCGAATTAGTGTAATAGTGTGTGAGAGGAAGAGGAGAGGGGAAGCATGCATTCTTGCCAATTAAAAGGTAAGAAATCACCTGTTATGGTAAAAATAATTTCTTTGGTAAAAAATTTGGTTATTATGTTTTATGCTATAAATTGTAGTAATTGATAAAAACTTCTCAAATTACATGTTCCTTGCAATATTTTTTGCTTAACATATAATTTAAGAAATGTCTTTCGACTAATAAGAAAATTCCTCAAAAATCAAATGATAAAAAATAGTAAAACAACCTCAAAAATCAAATGATAAAAAATAGTAAAACAAGATATTGGTGAATAATATTTGTAGTTCTATTGAGTATGTTATAAAATTATAAATTAATAAAATGATTTAGAGTCTTATAGAAGGTAGTAGAATTTTCATTTTAAAAAAGAGAACAACAAGAAACTTCTCATTTCTTCTTCCATCTCTTATTTACCCTCAATTTCAACACCATCACCACAAACACAACAATGGCCATGTCCCGTTTTATCACTCACAGCCACCGATCACCTCTCAAAACCCAACAATGGACCTCTCAATTCCTCCACCGTTTCACCATCACGACATCCACCGACCACCCTGAAAAATCAGACACAAAAGAGCTTTCCATCTCCGAATCTACCACAAAACCCAAACTCTTTTCACCAAAGAGACGCAGCCGGAGATCACGTCCTTGGTCGAGAAACAATGATCGGAACGTCCTTCCTTCTCTCTCCGGTACCTTCGCTCTCTTAAACTATTATTCACCACCGAATTTTTTCTTTCTTAATTATTTCTAAATAATTCCAAGATTTCTTGAAATTCACCAGGTGTTGGGCATGCCATCGTGGAAGCGGCGGCGAACATGAACAGACTACTGGAAAACTTGTCTCTGTCCCATCTGATAAGGAGATTCAAAGAGAAAGATGAGAGTTACAGCATCAAGTATCAGATGCCTGGGCTGTCGAAAGATGATGTGAAGATTACAGTTGAAGATGGGATGTTGTTCATCCGAGGAGAGCATAAGGAGGAGGAGGAGGAAGGAGACGAGGAGGAGTATTGGACTGCAGCCAGATACGGGTACTATAACACTAGCCTGATGCTGCCGGAGGATGCTAAAGTGGAGGAGATCAAGGCGGAGATGAAAGATGGGGTGCTTCATGTAATCATACCAAAAGATGACACCAAGAAGAAGAATGTCAAGGAGGTTAAAGTTGGCTAGTAATTAAGTAGTATCTATATGTGAGTATATGTATGTATTGACTTGTGAATTATAATTCTAATGT